CAGCGTCTCGTAACCCAACATCCCCGAAGCGAGCAGCGCCAACTCCACCCACGCCCCCCACCGCCCCACCCCCCCCGCCTTTTTCTTTTTTTCAGAAACCGACCACACGAACATATGTGAGCCGCACGAGGCGTCTCGAACCGCCGTACCCAGCCCGCGGTTCTAACAAGATGTCCACTCGGTCGACTATGACCGGGTTCGACTGTCTCCATCGACGTGCAGCCGAAGCGCATACGCGTGCCACAGGGTTGACCGACTAGAAACCGGACAATTCTAGTGCGCACGAGCAGGAGGACATGCAGAATGCCTACTGGAACCTAGGCCCTGCGATTCCCCCTCTTGAGAGAGAGGGGGGCTGAGTAAAGAAGGTGCGACCTTTAGCGTGCTTTAGCGTGGTCGGCTTGCTACTCTGCCGTGACCAACCGAGCAATACAGAACTTGAGGCGGCCCTACACACTAGTCCTCGGGCGCGCGGAGCTCGCCGACGAGCTGGACGACGGTCGCGGGGGGGAGCACGGGGGACGTGGCGAGGCGGCGGACGGCCTTGGACTTCTTGTCCCCGGGGTAGTGGGACCAGGGCTCCTCCTTCTTCCACTCCTTCAAGTTGAGGAGCGCCCAGGCCCGCTCCGGGGGCATCGTCTCGTCCTCGGCGAGGAAGTAGGGCATGTACTGGTCGCGCACGTCGTAGGACGCGCCGGGGCCGCCGCCGTCCGAAACGACGAACGTCGTGAAGAGGACGACGCGCGGCGACGCCGGGTCGCGGATCGCGTCGCGCGGGCCCGCGTGGACCATGGCGTGGTCGCCAACGAAGATCGAGCCGGCGTTCCAGACGTCCTTGGACCGCGGCGCGGCCTCGTCGTCGCCGCCGCGCCGCGGCCGCGCGGGCGCGGGCGCGGGCGCGATCGGATCGATTCGCTATCTTACAGGCCGATGGTTTTCGGCGGCGGCGGCGAGCCGCCGAACTCCTCGTCGAAGTCGTCGTCGTCGACGTCGTCGTCCGAGGCCGGCGGCGTCAACTGCGTCGGCGGCTTCCGCTTCCGCGGCGACGACGTCGACTTGCCCGCGACGGAGGACGTCGACTGGCCCGTCTTTTGCCGCTTGGCGGGCGGCAGGCAGTCGGGCATGGACGCGCCGTCGCGGAAGCTCTGGCGCGGCGGCGCCTGCGCCTTCGCCTTCGGCGGCGCCGGCGCGGTGTCGCGCTTCTGGCGCGCCTTGGCCTGCACCAGCGCGCCCGCGAGGTCGTCGCTCGCCGTCGCGGCGTCGGCGGCGCGCGCGTCGGGCATGCTCTCCGTGGCGTCGGAATCCGCGACGTCGTCGTCGTCCGCCGCCTCCGGCGCCTTCGCCTCGGGAAGCTCGGCCTCCTTGGCCCTCATCGCCTTCTCCCACTCGAGGTCGAAGAAGTGCAACAGCTTCGCGCGCTTGGCCTTGACGTCCTCGCGCTTGAAGAGCTGCTTCGAGAAGCGGTCGCCGAAGGTCATGTCGTCGTCCGCGGCGCGCGCCGGCAGCGGCTTGTCGAAGAGGAGGTCGAAGAACTTGAGGACGTAGACGCCGCAGTCGAAGGAGTTGCGCTGCTTCGGGAGGTCCGGCGCGAAGATGGGCATCGTCTCGGCCTCGAAGCGGCCGTCGAGGTCGCGCGACGCGTGGCGGTCGGCCCAGGCGCACTTGAGGAACGCGCGGAGGTACTCGGCGATGCGGCCCTTGTCGTGGGACCGGAGGCTGTCCATGGCGAGGATGTACGGCTCCGACGGGTCGGGCGTGGCGTCCGCGTCGTCGCCGTCGCCGTCGCTGTCGGAGTCGATTTCGATGACGTCGCCCTTCTTCGGCTTCGGCTTCGGCGCGCGCGGCGTCCGCCGCGAGGGCTTCTTGCCGGGGTTGACGACGACGGCGAGGCTCCAGTGGAGGTGCTCGTTGACGGGCACGAAGAGGAGGTCCTGGTCGAAGACGTCGACGTTCTTCGTCCACCGCTTGACCTTGGCGTAGGCCTTCTTGGCGTCGAAGGAGCCGGGGAACGCCTCGGCCTCGAGCATCTTCGTGAAGAAGAAGGTCGAGAAGACGTGGACGCTCACGACCGACGCGAGCTGGTTGTGCATCTTGTTCTTGAGGTAGAGGTTGATCAAATTGTCGTTGAGGAACTCGCCGTCCTGGAGGCGGAGGCGGTCGCCCTTGAGGCACGTGATCGCGTCGGGCGCCTTCGCGCTGGGGAAGGTGAAGGCGGGCTCGGCGTTGGCCGGGTCGTCGACGAGGTTGACGTGCGCCGGCGCCGCGCCGCGCTTGCGCTTCGAGCCGCCCCGCGGCGCCGCGGCGGCCGGCTCCGCCTCGTTCTGCTTCGCGCGGCGGCGCTTCTCCATGGCGTCGGCGTCCGTGACGCCAAGGAGGTAGGGGGCCGCGGTGTCCGCGCCGCTGATCAGGTTGATCGTCGCGTGCGAGTAGTTGTCGTAGAGGAAGCCGAGGACGTCGTCGGTGAAGACGCGCGCGGCCGAGCCGGCGAGGTCGAGGACGACGCGGCAGTGGGGGCCCGGGTTCTGGCTCGGGTCGAAGCGCTCGCGGCTCAGGGTGTTGCCGACCCAGGCGTTCTTGTCCAGGGTCAGCGCGAGGAACTTGACGACGGGCCCCCCGTCGCTCAGGTCCGCCGGCGCGTCGTCGCCGCAGAGGTCGATGGGGCCGGCGTCGGCGTCGTCCTGCGTCTTGTACGCCATGGATTCGATGTCGCGCGCCTGGATGGCCACGGTGCGGTAGTTGCCCGTAAGCTGGCTCTTCCACTCCATGTTGATGGCCTGTTCCGTGATGACGAGGCCCGCGCCGAAGTGGAGCTCCGTGCCGAAATACGCGCGCTTGCAGTCGAGCCTGCAATGCGGCGCGCCGCCGGGCTTCTTCTCGCGGCTCGGCTGGCGCCGCGGCGGCGGGCTCGCGCGCCGCTCCGGCGTCTTCTTCGGCAGCGGCTTCGTGCCGTTGTACGGGCGGGCCCGGGGGCGGCCGCCGAGGACCTGGCCGCTTCCGCTTCCGTAGACGACCTTGCCGTCGTCGAGGCGCCGCCCGCCCGGGCCCGTGCCCGTGGCCCCGCGCTGCTGCATGCCCGCCTTGTACGGCTGGCCGGGCGCCACCATCGCGGTCTTGGCGATCTTGTGCTGCCCGAGCTGCGGCGGCGCCTTCGCCTTCGGCTTCCACGCGCGCTCGTCGTCGCAGTCGCCTACGATCGCATCGCGTCGCGCGCGCGCGAGGCATGGGGCGCGAGACGCGGGCCGCGCGCTGTCGGAGCCGATCTCGATGGCCTCCTCCTTGGCCCTGCCCGCCTTCTTCGCCCGCTCGAGCGCCAGCGGCGGCGCCTGAGGAGAAACAAACTCGCGGCTCGTGCGCTGCGGCGCCTTGCGCTTCGCCGCGGCCGACTTCAAGGCCACCATCTCCGTCGATTCCTTGGCGCGGTGGTCGCCCTGCGTCGCGCGGTCGCCCGCCGTGGGCTTGCAGTCGTCCTCGGACCCGGAATCGTCGTCCCGCACACGGCCCCCGCTGGGGCCGCGCCCCTTCCCGGAGCCCCCCGCTTCTCCTGCTGCTCCGCCTTGCGCCGCCGAGCGGGCGGGGCGCTATCGATGGCCCCGCAGTCGTCAAAATCCAAATCGTTCAGCCGGCTCATGCCTTGCTTTTTCTCTCCTGCGCGCGAACTAAACTGAACGTGTTCCGCGCCTTTTCTCCGTGGTCCGCGTGCCGCGGCCAAGGGCGTCTCTGCGGCGTGGCTCGCGCGCGCCCCCGTGACGATGCGCGCGAGGAGGCCGGGCAGGCGCAGGCTCGATGCGGAGCTCTCCTCGACCCAAGCGGCATCACTGACCTGAACTTCGAGTATTCGAGTACGCTGTCTCTCTCGTGATGGTGCCGAAGAACGTGGCTCTCCGCCGGGCGGCCATCGCCGGCCTTTCCCTCGCCGCCGTGGCCGTACTCGGCTACCGTTCGCGCTTCCCGTCCCTGGGCGCGGCCGTGTCCGCGACTGCGTCGGAGCTCGCTGCCCTCGGCGCAGTGCCCGAGTCGGGCGCGTCGTCGCCGTCGCCAGCGGCGACGCACGCGAGCCGGTCGTGGAATCTGACGGCGGAGAAGGCCGTCGTCTACGGGGCCCTCGTCGACGAGGAGCTCGCCGCCGTCTTCGACGCCTGGGCCGCGGACTTCTCGCGCGCGTATGCGACGGCCGACGAGCGCGCGGAGCGCTACGCGCACTTCAAGAAAAATTTAGCCGAGGTCGACCGTCTCAACGGCGCCCACCCCTACGCACTTTTTGGCCTCACGCGCTTCGCCGACCGGAGCGACGCCGAGCGGTCCACGCGGCGGTCACGGCGCGCCGCGCTCGCGGACATGGTCGCCGCGCTGCCCGGATCCGTCGCCGCGGGCCGCCAGCTTGCGAGCGACGACCACGATACCGGCTTCGACGGCGGCACGGATGACGGCACGGCGACGCGGAGCGGCATGGCCCGGGGCAAGGTCGGCTGGATGTCCGAGGACTCGTGCGTCGCGTGCGGCAAGCCCGACGCGGACCACCAGTTCAGCCGGGCCCAGGTCTGGGAGTTCCGCAACTACTCGTCGACGTACCAGCCGACGAAGTTCGACTGGCGCGCCCTCGGCGCCGTCACGGACGTCAAGGACACGGGCGACTGCGCGTCGACCTGGGCCTTTGCCGCGGCCGGCGACATCGAGGGTACGCAGTTCCTCTCGACGGACGACGCGCTCGCGAGCCTCAGCGCCCAGCAGCTGGTCGCCTGCGACACGCTCGACGACGGCTGCCTCGGCGGCGACGCCTTCAAAGCCTTCCAGTACGTCGAATCCTTCGGCGGCCTCGCGTTCGACGCGGACTACGCGTACGCGAACGTGGACGTGGCCGCGCAGCCGCCCCACAGCACGCCGACCTGCGACAAGGCGGCGCTGAACGCGGCGCTGAAGGGCGGCGCCGTCGCGCGCGTCGGCGCGTGGCAGATGGTCGCCATGGGCGCGGGCGACGAGGACCTGCTCAAGCTCGCGCTCCTCCGCAATGGGCCCGTCGCCGTAGCCATGAACTCCGAGGGCATGGACTTCTACGTCCACGGCGTCATGGGCTGCCCCTCCGACAAGGGCGACTGCGAGGCCGGCTCCATCGACGAGCACAAGCACTGCGACCCTGACACGCTCGACGTCCACGCGCTCCTCGTCGGATACGGCGAGCAGGACGGCCTCCACTACTGGGTCGTCAAGAACGCCTGGGGCGACATGTGGGGCGAGGACGGCTACTATCGCGTAGTCAGGGGCGTGAACCACTGCGGCATCGCCAACTTCGCCACGCACTCCGTGAGCAAGGCCATCGAATTCGACCACGCGGGTCACGCATAGCCCTGGCCGGCGAACCCCCCCCCCCCCCCCCCCACCCCTTCCCTCTTCGACATCCTCTTCAAGGAACACTCGCCTAGTCTGCCGGCTTGTGTGCACCGCAGCTATGAGATCGGGCGGCAAGATGACCGTCGCAGGCGTAAATTATCGGTATTATGGGTGGGGGCTTTGACGGTCGCCCGTACCTAAAAACCTCCTCGAGATCGTGGGGCGCCACGCCAAGGCCGACTTCGAGGCCATCTACGACCACGAGTGGGCCAAAATCGACCAGTCCGAGCGGCCGCAGGCCGAGCACATGCTCACCTACTTCCTCAAGACGAAGACCGCGGCCCTGCTCGCGTACTTCGCGCGCGACGACGTCTCGCCGCTAACCAAGACAGTACGGATTCTCTACTGGAAAATGACATCTAGGAGCCCCGCGCGGTCGAAAAAAGCTCCTGCGGACGCGTCCGCAGGAGTCGTCGCCCCTCCGGGGCTCCGAAAACAGACCCTTCACCGACGTACGTGGTACGGCCGCTACGCGGCCGTGCTTCCCCTGTGCTCCTCAACTGGCTTCGCCTCGGGCGGCCGTTTCCGGTTACCTGAACTCTTCGGCTCTCGACTGCGTGATCCCCACGATCTCCGACCTGATCCGCGTGCGCCGACGGCCGCCTCGGCAGAGAGCCGTTCGCAGGGGATGCTTGTCGAGAAGCGCGCGCGCGTCCCGGGCGCGCAGAAGTTGAAGTGGTAGTCGAGGTGAATCGACGCGCTTCGTGTCGCAGCAGACGTCGTCACCTCATGCAATCGGATGACTGCCCCGGCGGGCGCGCCACGGCGCCGGCAGCCGGGCGGGTCGCCGCCGATGCGGGCGCGAACACCGCCTCTCGCGAGCCGCGTTTGGAAGACTCGTCTAGCGGAGCGCATCGCGCCGCATGCTCCGTGGTCCGCGTGCCGCGGCCAAGGGCGTCTCTGCGGCGTGGCTCGCGCGCGCCCCCGTGACGATGCGCGCGAGGAGGCCGGGCAGGCGCAGGCTCGATGCGGAGCTCTCCTCGACCCAAGCGGCATCACTGACCTGAAGGAGGAGGAGGACAGATCTTACACACAAGGACAGATTTTACCCCCGGCGCGGCGAGGAGGAGGAGCGACACTCTCGCCGATATCGAGGCCCCGCGTCGATTGCTGCCGCGCCCCCCGCTCATCGATTGTGCTCCTCGAACTACCGGTGAGTTGCCCGCACCCCCGCCCCGAGTAGTGGCAGCCGCAGCATCGAGTCGAAGACCCCGGACCAGTCCAGCGACCTTCACAACAGATCAGCGACCCTCGCAGGCAATATGGTCAAGCAGAAGAATCACACGGCGCGCAACAAGACCGTCAAGGAGCACGCGCGAGGCATCAAGAAGGCGCGGCGCCCGCGCCACGAACTGTATCTGCACGTGGCAAGACTCGCCCTCGCAGGTGCCGAACTTCCGCTACAGATCGCTCAAGGGCATTGACCCCAAGGCGCTGCGCAACAGGAAGTTTTCCTTGCGCTGGAACAAGGGAGGTCGCCCGAGCGTTGACTCGGAGTCCGACGACGACGACGAGGAGGAGGAGGAGGCGTGAATGACGCCGGAGGACGCGTGTGGCTACGCCGAGCGACGAAGCGCGCCCCCCTAGATTTTAAGGGTCTGGGAAACGGTAGAAAGATGAGACCAAGAAGAGGATTCCCTCGCACGAGCGGCCGAGCAGGGCCTGGATCGTCGATGTGCGGGCGCTGCGATCTAGCCAAGTCCGCCGCGGCCGGCGTTAGAGTAACGACGAACTTCATGCGCTCCCGGGAGTCGTTCCCCTCGTAAGTGGCGATGCACGGGGCACCGGCGCTCGCTCCGGCGCCCGTGACGACCACGACGGCCCAGGCGAGGCACAGGCGCGCCATCCTCGCGGATGTACTTGGCGAACTCGCCGTCGCGGGGCGCGTCGCGTACCAGCCTCGAGACATCGAGTCGCCGGGATGGAAGGACGCAAAACAAAACGGGCGTTCCAATTCAAATCCGCAGCCGTGCGACTCGTACTGAGTTGCCATCCTCGTGTCAGGATCTACTTGCAGAGACCAGGGTCCAATTTCCGCAACCACTATTAAATTGAGATTTTCGAAAAGAAGCTCCGGCGGACCAATAATTGCTGCCTGATTTATGCAGCTCTGCAATGGACCAATCTATATCTTTGCGGAAACTCAAATGTTGTTGCCATCAACATTCGAAATCATGTTAATCAAGTGAAACATCGAGCTATGAGGGACTGGCCTAATGCCGATCTATGCCATATACTGGCCTTCTACCTCACTGCAGAGGACAAGATTAAGATATTTTCTCCACGGAATGTATCCCACCACTTGAACATGGAAGATCTGTTACAGGAAACTATCGATCAAATAGGCAAACATGTCACCGAAGCGGCATGGGAACGCGCAAACGGAGATAAATCCACTTATGTCCACACTGTTGCCAATGCTGAAGGGACGCACGTTCACTCGGCAGTGCAATTCGACACTGTTCCTGATCATCATCATCTCGGTTTATCTGTGGATCAACATCGTTTTCTTCAAGAGAGGGAGTGGACCCGCGAAGAATACTATCGAGATGTACAGCCGCTTTCAGACACTGGCGCCACGATATCGTGCCAGCCTGACGGCGTGGGTATTCTGCAGGAAACTGTCAGCAATGCCGTGATGATGATACAGGGCGCTACAGCACGTGACCCGACAGCTTCAAAAGCTGGGCCCCCCGCTGCTGCGCGAGGGACCCGGTGGGGTCCCTCGCGAGCACACCCCAGCTAAGCTAGCCGAGCTATCGGCGAGAGGCCCACGGGCGATTAGAGAGATAGAGAGTTTTGTATATGGTGGCCGGAATACTCGGTAATGGAGTCGCCGGGCAGATTCCGCAGCGACTCCTTTACGATCGCACACCCCTCGTCGAAGGCCATGAGGTGACCCTTGCGGCCCGGCGTCGGCGGGTCGCAACCGCGACCCGTGAGCACCTGCAGTTTCCTTTGCTCCTGCGGCGCGTCAGAGCGGATATGAATCCCGTTGACCATAGGCACCTCTTCGTAGTGCGCTTCTTCGTAGTGCGCCGAAGACCATGAATCGTACGCGAGATGCCCGAGGCGCGGGAACCGACGAGAAATAGCGTAGCATAGCATGGCGTGATGTCTTATTTCGGACGAACAATTCTCTATCTTGTTATGGGCCGATGTACCACCGGTATAGCAAAAAATATCTATGTTGGGACTATGCGGGTGCGTTGCTGAAGGCATGCTGATGGTATGAGCGGCGATGCGCCGGCGTGGCGCCTGCTCAGATGGTCTTCTGCGCCTGCTGTGCGCCTGCTATGCTTACACAATAATATAATCGAGTAAATGCGGTAGGACGCCGGTATGCCGGTAGCCTACTATGCGGGTTTTATGCGGGTGATTTGCGTCTACTATGCGGCCGGTATGAGGGTGGTGTGGAGAGGGAATGCGAGTGCCATGCGGGTGGCATGCGTGTTAGAATCCGAGTATGCTAGATGACATTGGTGTTATCCAGGCTGAGAGCCCGCGCTAGGGGCCCTAAAATACCCGGGAAGTAAGAGGTAATATCTACTTAGTTCTATAGTTGAACGGCCTTACAATCCTTCGACAAACGAAATAGACGCACCATTTTGGTCGAGCGTGATATCAGCCATAAGCGCCTTTGGTACGCTCTTGTAACATCCGTTGGGCGTGACTGGAGACCTAACCAAACACCCCCACTCCCCACTCTAACCCAAAGCTGACGGTCTTGTAACATCCGTTGGGCGGGACTGGAGACCTAACCAAACCCACCCGCCCCACTCTAGTGCGAACTCGGCGGCACGGACCGTCGTGAAGCCCCCACCTCGCCGGCCGGCGACGTGGACGCGCGCGAGGCGGTGCGGCCTCATACTAGCATACTCGGATTCTAACATGAGCATCTCTCCCCATCGCTGGTATCCAAATTAACCTGGTTTATGAGCATCTCTCTCTGCCACTTGTATCCACTGTAGCGGGTACTTAGAGCGAATACTCGGCGACGAGGATTTGAATCGCACTGGCACCCGGGAATAAGTGGCCCGGCAACACCTCCAGGCGCCGGATCATCGCCAGGCGTTTTAGCCTTGGTTATCACGACTTTAAGAATGGTAGCAAGCTGTTCAATGGCCCGGGGTTACTTGCGACTTACATTCGGCCAAAACGACCAAGAAACGGGGTACTTTTTTCGTTGCATCGAACCCCGGCTAGGCCTTGCGCGCGCCCGAAACCGCACCGGGCATCCGGGCCTATTCGCAAAACAGCCAGTGAGCTGGGCACTGCCTGACTCGAACCCGCTCGAACTCGGCCACATCGTAGTCGCCTTGGCTACTTTTTCGGAAGACTGATCTTCCCTCATCGAGACTTCGACGAAGATCGAAAAGCACTGTCGAAACCGGCCGTGCACTCACATTGAAGTCGGCTTGCAGATTCTGGCCCAGCATGCGCGCGGCCGTCGCGAACTTGTCGCAGGTCTTGAGGTAGCACACGGAGCCGGCGAGCGTCCAGCCTGTGTCAGGGTTTATGCGTCGGGAGTATATCCCAATCGATGGGCCCAGCGCCTTACCGCCGCAGCGAGGTGTCTTCTCGCATTTCGCGCCTGCGAAGAGCTCACTATTCACGACGGTCCGAATAGGATGATTCGCCAAAGTCCAGCTGGACACAGCACCCCAATGGGATTTTCACAGCAGTCCGCAGGGTGGGCGCCGCCAGAGATGGCCAAATCGCACTTGCCCTTGAACGCGTCCACCTGCGGGAGACTCACTATTCACGGCGGTCCGAACAGGATGATTCAACGCAGTCCGGCTGGAAATAGCTGCCCAATGGTTTTTTTTACGTCGTCCCGGAGCTCGAAGCCTTCGCACGCCTGCGCGGAGCTCACTATTCACAACTTTCCAAATAGGACGATTCGCCAAAGTCTAGCTGGACACAGCACCCAAATGGGTTTTTCACGCGCAGCCGCGTCCGGGACGGCGCCGGGAAGGTCCGCCGCGTAGGCCTCGTAGTAGCGCGCCGCAAGGTTTGGGAAGCGGTCGTACTGGTGAACGACGGCGACGCGCCGGCCGCCCGGCGTCGTCACAACCTGCGGGACGCGCGGCGTCGCCGGCGCGGCTGCGGCGCGCAGTCCGTCCGCGCGGCGCCTCCCTTCCGCCCCGCTGCCGCCGGTCTCGATCGTCCGCGCGGGCCGCGACGCCGTCAGCGCCGACCCGGGCGACCTTCGCCTGGAGGTTTGCGACGAGCGCGTCCCGCTGGGGCACGAGCCGCGCGCCGGCGACCCGGTCCTCGTGGAGGAGAACGTTGTGCACGCCCTGGTCGACGCCTGCGGCGCACACGTCCCCGCCGCGCGCCGGCGCCGCGGAGTCCCGCGCGGGCCGACGCCATTCCGCTCGCACGACGCGAACGCGGCGTCCGATACCTGCGGGCAGAGCCGTCGTCGGACGCAAAGCTCAGGTACTGTGGCCTTCAGGGACCGTTGGAACCGTCGGCGAAGCGAGGATCTCAGGTACTGTGGCCCTGACCGACATTTGAACCCGTCGGCGAAGCTCGGACTTTTGGTGACAGAGGCGACGAAACTTCTGAAGTGGCGCCTTTCAGGCGTCGACTCCGGCCGCAGACGATGGCGCTCATCTGGTCCGCGTACGCTTCTGCGCAGGAAGAGGCGAGGTGGGGAGCTCAGGTACTGTGTGGCCTTCACGGACCGTTGAAACTCGGGCGGCGGGCGGCTAGGGTCGGCCATTCGTGGCCTCATCGAGGCGCGCTCGCAAACGCGGCCCGGGGGGGGACCCGGAAGGGGGGGCGAAGCTCGGACTGCTGGTGACTGCGCGATCGAGTCCATAAGCCCCCGAAATCCATCTCCCATGTCCGCGCGGGCACGCGCGCGCCTCCGAGAACGTCGCGATAGAGACGCCGCTGCAGACCTGCGCGAAGCACGCGTCCGCCAAGCTGTGGTACTGTGGCCTGCATGGACCGTTGGAATTGTCGGCGAAGCGAGGATCTCAGGTACTATGGCCCTCACCGACATTTGAGACCGTCGGCGAAGCTCGGATTTTTGGTGACAGAGGCGACGAAAGTATTGAAGTGGCGCCTTTCCGGCGTCGACTCCGGCCGCAGACGATAGGCTTCTTCGCGAGCTTCTGCCGCTTCTTCTCACCGAAGCAGTCCTTGATCCAGCCGCCGTTCCAACCGCACCTGTGATGAAATCGACCGGCGGCTTCGTTTGGGATGAGCAATCGGTCCTCGTCAAGCTGCCGACGGCGCGATCGAGTACTCTGGTCGCGTGGCCTTCACCGACATTTGAAATCGTCGGCGGAGCTCGGACTGCTGGTGACTGCGCGATCGGGAAACGTCGCCCAGAGCAAGCAAATTTACTCACATTGTAGTCCGATTGAATATTTGATTTCGATGCGGAGCCGCGCTCGCCGATGGTCCGCGACTCGACGCCGTGGAACGCCTAAGCTCAGGTCATGTCGCCTTCGCGGACCCTTGGCGAAGCGAGGACTCCGGGTGCGCGCGTAGAAGGCGGGGCCGCGGCCATCGAGGATGGCCGCGAAGGGGTCGGCCTGGAAGGCCGTGTCGCGGACGTCCGCGAAGAGCACGCCGCGGTAGCCGTCCGCAGCGCGTGCGCGCAGGTAGCCCGCGATAAGCGGCCAGCGGAACCTGGGGTAGCTCGGTTATCGTGGCCTCCACAAACCGCTGGAACCGTCGGCAAAGCGAGGACGGTTGGTGACTGACGCGACCAGAGTTTGAAGTGGCGCCGCCCGTCGTCGGCCCCGGGCGGCGCGTCGACGGGTGGAAGCTCCGGAGTCGCGGCGGCTCGAGCGCGGCCGGGTCGTATTCGACGAGCTCCGCGCGATACGTCGCCGCGAGCGCTCGGAGGGGCGCGTCGACGGCGGGCGCGTCGACGAAGAGCGCGAGGTGAGCGTCCGCCGCGTGCACGCCTGGGCTCGGCCGGCGGTCACGCGGGCGCCCGCGGTCCCGGTGCGCGCGCATCGACACCGGCCCGCGCGGAGCGACGCGGCGAAGACGGCGAGGTACTTCACGTCGATTTCTTTGGCGAGGCCGACGACGAGGTCGCGCGGGCCCGGCGCGGCCGGCGCGGGGCCTGCGGCGCGCGCCAGGCCCGCGGCGGCCCGCGGCGCGGCCCGCGGCGCGTGCGCGGGAGGCGTACCGCGCAGCGCCGCCGCCGGCGCACGGTCGATCGAGTCCAGAAGCGTCCGCGCTGACGCGATGGCGTCGTAGTAGATGCCGAGATCGAGGTCCGCGCCCGCGCCCCCAGCCGGCGACACGTCAACCGCAGGGGCGCGCGCAGCAAACCACGACGTCATCACGAGGTAGGGGATCATGGCGAGCACGCCGAGGACGAGCACGGTCGCGCACGAAGGCATCATGTGCCGAGTCGGATGATATAGATTATCAATTTCCCCCCCCCCTAATCTAGACGGGTTCCGGGGCCAGGAGTGGATGGGGGGTAGTCATCCTGCACGGGTAGGAAAAGCTCTGTTGATTCCTTCCGGCAGGTATATTCGCTTCGACCTGGGAGGGGTGCGCGGTGAGAGTCGACTGGGGAAGTGGACGCGGCGTGAGCGCTGCACGCTCGTGACGTAATGAGATCCATGACCTACCGTGACGGTGCTGTCAGAGACGTGAAATCCGCTTCTGTCGGCGCGGCGCTGCTCGGCGCCCGCTGGTTTTATAGTTTCGGTCGGATGCACCATGTAATTTTCGACCCGGCGGCCCATGCCAAGGTCTGGTGCTTCGTGCAGCTCACATGAGCGCGGAGCGCGACGTTGTGAGAAGGAGCGGCGTGCAAGACTAGCGTGTTGTCGCATACTCCTCCCGTAGTCGCAGATCCTCCGCGCGTTTTTGTAAGAGTTTTTGTGCTTCGCGCGCGGACGCGCGAATCGGTGTCGCAAAAAAAAAAAGGGGGGGGGGTTGGCGTTCGGGGCAGTAGTGACCCACGCTGTGAGTACTAAACGACTGGTTTAGATTCGCGCTCGGTCACACGATTCCGCCGCTTTAGCTTTAACGAACCTCGTCAGGGATGGCCGCAGCAAAGGCAGTGGAAGTCATGGTCGAGGCCATGGCCAAGGCGAGTTTTCCTCAGATTCTGCTAAATCAAAGGCCTCTCTCTCCAAAAAAATAGGCGGTGGAGATCGTCCTCCTCAATCGCATCATGCATCCCTTTGACCTGTCCCGCAGCCCTGGGCGGACGCGGTTCAATGTCGAGGTGGACGAGGTCGATGTGTCGCGCGGCGCCGCGGTCGCGCCGGGGCGCCGCGCCGCGCGCGCAGGCCGCGCGCGCCGACCAGCCGCGCGCGCAGGTCGTGCGCGGCCTCATCGAGTACTGGCGGCGCGACCCGGGCCTGCCGCTCGTGCTCCTCGTCGTCACGCGCTCGCCGAGTGGCGGCCCCGCGGCGCTCCTGGAACGGTGGGAGCTGCGCTACGCGGCCGCGCGTGGCGGCGGCGGGGGCGGCGGCGGCGAGGCCGAAGCACTCGCGAGCGTGCGGGCGCTCTGGCGGCGCCTCGTCGTGCTCCTACGAACGGTGTCCTGCGCGGCGCGGACGCGCCGTCGCGCGCGTTCGGGCGCGCGGCCGTCGCCCGGGGCGCGCTCGCGCGCCCGGACCCCCGCGCGCCTCGCAGCTACTCCATCGCGGCGTCGCTGCCGTGCGCGCGGCTCGCGCGGCGCGCCGAGG